TATTGCTAGAAGTTATGTCTCGTTGACCTTCTAAGTGGAATAAAAATTCCACTTTCCAATTTGAGATGTATGCGTTAAAAAATAAAAAACAAAACAAAACAAAAGCTAATGCAAACCTTTATTGCAAAAAGACCATGCAGACTCTACCCTACATGTTTTATAATATCATTTGGTAGCCAAGTACAACATTCAAATGCCCTGGAGTCAGAACTTTAGTTGATCTAGATTGCTTTCCTAAACTTAACTGCAAATGCTGTATTGACTCCTTCTAAAGGGTTTATGATTGATTGTTGGAGCCAAATTATCATTAACATTCTGAACTGTCCTAGCAGTATGAGCTGCATTCCTATAAAGCCATTTTTACTTCCTCAAACCAATAGCTAGGCTTGGATTTTGGTTGTATAAACCAATTTGTCTTACTAGACCTGGTTGCATGGCTCCTCTGGTACCTTTTAGCAAGTTCTTAGNAGGGTTTATGATTGATTGTTGGAGCCAAATTATCATTAACATTCTGAACTGTCCTAGCAGTATGAGCTGCATTCCTATAAAGCCATTTTTACTTCCTCAAACCAATAGCTAGGCTTGGATTTTGGTTGTATAAACCAATTTGTCTTACTAGACCTGGTTGCATGGCTCCTCTGGTACCTTTTAGCAAGTTCTTAGTCTTGTTGATGTTATTTTCTAGTCCAAGTTGCCTGTTATATGGGAAAATCAGAAAAACGACAATCTACGATAAGGGAACTAGTCAAATGTAGTTGAAAATTGGGTGAATGAAATTTAAATGAGTAACGTGGCTGAGATGATATTTAGTTATCACTAGATTGTGATCTTTGATTTACAACTTTTTTGTATTTACAACTTATTCTCAATTTACCAAATCTGATTCTGGGTATCTGATGCCAAATTTTTTATGGAATCTTTTGGTTACTTGACTGAGATAAATATGTAATAATATGAAACTATTGCTGGGCAAACATGTGATGAGTTATCTGAATCAATCTCAGTATGTTGAGGTTAAAATCAGATTGTAATCTTTTTCTACAAGTGTGGCATAATTTTGCTGTCAGTTTTCTATTCAAATGTCAGGGGAAATTATGGCTCTTAAATTAGCAATGAGATGGTATAAGAAAAACTTTTATTGCCACAATTTATCTACATTTGGATCAATTATAGGACTGACCATCTTCAAATTTATCAAACTTTATTTTGTTAACTGGAATTATGTCTGTAAGGCATTACTTTCAGGAGAAACTCTATGTATGCTTATGTTTATGGCTGGCTCTAATGTGTTTGCTTCTCTGCTACTATTCCAAGCGAAACTGATATATTGTTAACTCTTAATTTTGGGCAACAAATGGTTGAGTTTAAGTTCTGCATATTTGAGTTGTCCTTAAATAGTTTTTGTTGTTTGTGGTCAGTGAAGTTCGTGTTGAGGGACTAGAGACACTGGATTATCTAGACAACTTGCAGAATAAGGAGCGTTTTACTGAACAAGGAGATGCAATAACATTTGAATCAGAAGTGCGTTTATGATACCATATTTTTCCGCTTGTGATTATGCTATGTCAGGCTCTAATGTTTAGGTAATACTATTGTGGTTTACACAGGTGGACAAAATATATCTCAGCACTCCTATGAAGATTGCAATTCTCGATCATGAAAAGAAGCGAACATTTGTAATTCGTAAAGATGGGCTTCCGGATGCTGGTGAGACTGATTTTATCCATCTACTTTCCTAGCAATGTTTTTGGTAATATACGGGGGCTTTTGTTTGGCATGAATGTATCTTGCAATGTTAGTCAACATGGATCTACATTTGTCTTGTCAAAACGCAATTAAATTGTCGCCCTAGTAATATTGCTTCTGTTGAATGAAATGAGTTTACACCTAATATTCCATTGTGTTCATAGCTTAAATAAGTTGAAACATGGTTATATGATCACCATGATTGCATAAATCTTGTGTATAAAAGCTTCAACACAAGAAGAGTTTGGAACCAAGAGTGTTCTAGAAGAGAGAAAAATTGGGAAATCTGGATATACCATTGGAATGTGGGTTCATTACTTGATTACTAGTTCAACAGAATACAGTTTACAAAAATAATAAAATAAGGTCATATACAGTTTCATATCAGCAATTATGTTTTAGGAAAAGAGATTTGAATTCTGAAACCACCCGTTATTTAAATTTAAGAAGTATCTTTTATAACGTATCTTCATCACTATTTCTTTTCCTATATTTCCTCCCTCTCAAGTTGTAGGAATCACATGGATCAAATATCAATCTTCATCATTTTAATTTTGCCTGTTAGACGTATTGCCAAGTTTATTTATTTTTGCAGCTTACATATTTATGTACATAGTTTGAGACGGTATATACTTGAGCATATAAATCATTGGGCTTGTTCATTTGGAGGTTTTTGAGACCATTTTATGTTAGTTTATAGTTCTTCTTGATGACATGATACATTATAAGTCTTATTGTAAGACTTTGCAAGGTGGTAAGGATAGAAAACTGAGAAACCTTCTCAGATTTTCTTTCCTTTCCAAAAATTGCAATGATAATTATATATTTCCTCTTGGTATAGTTTGGGTAAAAATGTTTCTAGACGACCTTGTATATAAGCAACTTTATAATTGTTTCAGTATACGTGGGTTTTTCATGCCTCCTTTTAATGCAGTGGTGTGGAATCCCTGGGATAAGAAAGCAAAGGCTATGGCTGATTTTGGTGATGATGAGTATAAGCATATGCTGTGTGTGGAGGCGGCTGCTATTGAAAAGCCTATTACATTGAAACCTGGAGAAGAGTGGAGAGGAAGGCAGGAACTCTCTGCTGTTCCTTCTAGTTACTGCAGTGGGCAACTTGATCCTCAGAAAGTTCTCCGCAGCAGCTGAAAGATCGATCATTGTGATCTATAGTCTGTACAGGTAGCTTGGCTAAAACTTCTGTTTATTTGGTATATTTGCTGTACAAGAGTCCGGTACCTATATTAATGCAACTTTTATGCCTGTTTGGGAATATTCGAATTTTACTTATGGATTCCTTGGTACTTCTGATTGCATTTCGTAGACATCTTTTTATTTTTATTTTGTGATAAGAAACTGAAAAGGTTAAATTGATTGAAGAAGAATTTACAAATTAGTGATCAGACATCTTTTTGTTCCATTATGTTGTATTTGTCATCTTGTTCTTTAAACCCAAACTTCTATCCTCAAAAGTGTGCGTAAAAGCATATGCATGCTCTAACTGTTAGTTATAACAGTCTAGCTGTTTTTCCTATTTCACTTTCTGAACTACATTTGGGCTTATCAGCACTTGACAATTCAAAAGCGGATACATATAGTAAGATTATGTGTCTATGCTTTAATGTTTATTTGATGGCATCACTGTTGCTAGTCTCCACTAATCTAGTATGTCAGCAAACAAAAAGAAGAAAACTAATGTTATGTCTAATATATATAATTTTTTTTTTGTGCATAGTCTAAAAGTATTGTGGCCTGAATATAGCTGTCTAATTAACAAACTACTTTTCCTTTCATCATCCAATTTAAAAATAATAGATGGTGTGACATACCTTAAGAATTACATGGTTTTACGTCCATATTAGTATTGGTAACTTCATTAAATTTCTTTGAACACTGTTAGAGCCTCAGTCAATTATTAACATACATATTGAAAACCTCTCTCAATTTTATCTTTTAGAATGTTAAATTTTATCTTTAGGCATCCCCCTTAGGCATATTGTTCACTGTCTGGTTGCCGTAGGTGTTCTGAGGCAACCATTGCGTAGGAGATGTTTTGACCAAGCTTTGATGTTCTTGAACAGTTAATCATTAGTTCAATAATGCCTATAGATGTACAGGTTCTTGATTTATGAACTCTTTTCGACAGTCTAGTAATATTGTTATATGGTTTGCTACATATGCTCCCTGGCTTTCTCTAATTCGTCAGAATTCTGTGAATCTGCTTTATTTAGGTAGTGTTCCTAGATTGTTTCTAGTTATGCATTATTGTTTTCATGGTCAAGATTTTCCATCCATTCATCATAACACATGGTTTACTTTTCAGGTATTCATTCGCAACTTGTGGATGGATTGTTATAATGAGGTCCGGCCTATATTTTGTTTTCTTCTTGTGAAATACCCTTTCTTGGTTGAAAAGATGGATTTATTACTAGCTAGGACTGTTAAATAATGTAGCTCTGAAGTGACACACTGTTTGCACCAAAAACAAAGATGGAAGAATGAGTACTATTCATGTTGTGTCAAAATGGAACAAACAAACATAAATATGAATAGAGTTGTGAGCAAGTATTACTACTATGATGAAAATGGAATGAAATTACATATCTTCTGTCAAGTTTCATAGCGCGGAAAGTTGATTTCTTTGCTTTTGATAGCCCTAGTAAGATCTTGACCTAGCAGATTAGATTGGAATATAGAAACATTAACTATCGAAAATCAAAAGTATTAGACTGCAGGATCCTGTCAAATAATCATAGCAGTTAATTGGCAACTTGTATTGGTAATTTGTTGCAATGTTTTGTGCATTCATGAAGATTGGAGTATTAGACATTTCTCTGGGAAGTTTGCACAGCAGTCTTGGCGAGTTGGGTTAAGGTTACCGGATGAACTTCCATTACTTTTGGGTGGTTCATCCAAGGGCTACTATGGGGGTAACCTTGCCCCCACCATTGGGTATTAGTATCCTTGTTGATTTGTAGAATGAATGTCCTGAAATCAAACTTTAGTTACCTCATGAAAATTTGTGTCCTGCCTATTTTATGTCTATTTGGAGAACTTTAGAATTTTGAGTTCTTTTATAAGTATTTGAAGTATCAAAGACATCAGAAATAAATTAAGAAAGAGATACAGAAGTTAAAAATTAAAACATCCATATATCAAAAGACATCAGGAGGAAAGCATTGTGGGATTTGATTATTTTCTTTCTTCACTTCCAAATCTTGCAATTGCTCTTGATAACTTGACATCATCTTCTTCTACTCCTCGCCCTCTTTCAGATGCTGTTCATGTTGAATGAACACTGCCCGTTTGAGGATCCGGTTCTCTTTCATTAACTTATCAGTAAGCTCTTTCTGCTTTGCGTTTACCAAGCTCTCAAAATCCCTAGCGCAGAGTCTGGCATCATCCAAAGAAAAGCTTTCATCATCTCATTAACGAATAAATCTGCCCATTGTTCAGAACCGTTGTTCGAGTCTGGAGATTGTTTTTCGTATTTGCAGGCTCTAAGGAAAGACCTTGGAGGTCTTTGATGGCAAGCTCCAAGGCATTGTGTAAATATTCTTGGGATTCAAGACTAGACAACATGGTTTTGTTTCTGCGAGAATGAACAAATTTGGGATTGCAAAAGAAAAACGAAATTAAAAAGATGAAGAGAAGAAAATTAAGAGAGTGTAATTATATGATAGATAGAATGAAGAAGGCCAGCAATATATATAAATAGATGAAGATTATGGTTTTCTAATACGATTTTGTAAGGACTTTTAGAAACTATATTGTATTCGGAAAGCAAAATTAGGTCGGGTTAGGTAAAAAAAAAAAATCTAATAGATATTACTAGATACCCGGAAATATGTTATGGAAGACAAATCTATCTCTAACTGTAATGATCAAGTACCATAAATTGAAGCAAATCTTAATAATAATAATAATAATAAATCAATATAAATTACAGAACAATTTTTATAGGATCACTACAAATAGTGGGTATATATATATATATATATATATATATATGGTTGTTAAGAAATGACCAAAAGTTGGGGGGTTGTATGAGATAACCAATTTTTTTTTTAACACTAAACCTTTCGATCCAAGTATATGGCATTTCGCCAAAACTACCCTCATATAATTATTCACTTTTTGTGTCGTTTTGCAAGATTTTTGAACTTTGATACTCCGGACGTTGCTTTAAAACCTCTAGCAAGTGCTGATTTATTTGCTTTATCAGTGTATTCTTTAGAGGAGTTCACCATCCCTCTAACCAATAAAGGAATTTTATAAATTCTTTCTTAAATTTTTGAATGTTTATAAGAATCATTGTTATTATTTTCTTTTTAAACACTATTATATCCATATTTAAGGTAGAAGATGAGGGCTAAAGATAAAAACAAATATGTGGTTTAAAAATCACTTCTGTATTTCTCATTCAAACACTTCTTTTGATACATTTGAAACAATTTTAAGAATTAAAGGGGAAGAATTTAGAGGTGAGCAAAAAGCCTGGGCCCAAAGGGTCTTGTCCCAAGGCCAGTTCCTTAAGAAGACCGGTCCCCGTGGGACCAGTATCGGGACTAGCCCAAGCCTTGGGGAGGGGTGACGGCCCTAGGCCGTCCTACGCCCGGGCCCGGTTAATTTCAAAAGTCTCATAACAATTAATCAAAACCTCCTATAATATACGAAATACATAGTAAATTTAAGGGTTAAAATATAATTTTTTTATCAGGCCTACATAGGACCGGTCCTATATATGCCAGGCTCGAGCCTAAGAGCAGTTTAGGCCCAAGGCCGATCCCAACCAATTTGGGCTCGATCCTTGAGGGCCTAGGCCGGTCCATTTGCCCACCTCTAGGGAAGATAGCGTTAAAACAATTTTGAGATTATAAAGTAGTAGGGTTTAAAAAAAAAAGAAAAAACAAAATAGATAAAAGACACTTATAGAGTTTATGCGGTGTTATAAGCAAAAAAATCATTTTAAAAACTTTCAAGGCGGTGTTTCTTAAGCCCCACTTAACCTTTTTGCAAGCCAAAAATTAATTAAAAAAATCAATTTTATATATATTTTAGTTTATTTAAAAATTATCCTTTTTTTAATTTACTTTTATTTTCTATAAGCATAAACAACGGGATTTCATAAAAGATCCTTATTAATTTAATACTTGTCTTTTTTTTTTTATTGTAAGTAAGCTTTTATAAAAAGCGGGAAAGAATGTACAAAAGGCCTAAAAATCGGCCAACCTACCTCAGGACAAGCCCTAGGTTAGGAGCAAAAGAATGATACTATCTAAGTCTACCCCTAACCTTCTCTTTTTCCCATTCCTTTTGGCAAAGAAATGGACCCAAGCGGAGATTAAAAAATACAATGAATCCCACCTACCACAGGACATGTCCTGGGTTAGGTTCAAAAGTATCAAAATACAAAAACCATATGCATTAGCATTTACAAGAAGAATTCCATAAACATGTACATTAACAAGGTAGGGCCCGTTAATGACACAAAGACAAAGTACTAGATCAACACCCCAAGTCTTCCAATTGCCAAAGTAGCCTCGTCTAGCATAATTAACCGCTAGGATGTCATATAACCAAATCCCCTTACACCACCAAAAACCCATCACTTAACAACAAACCATAAAATTAGCTCCCATGGGATGTTTTAAAAATAGACATGGGAAGACCCCATTTCTCTGCAATTCTTCTATTGTAGGTATTCTTTATGATCTTGCTAAGGTCCATAGCTCTCTCCCTCACCACATTCTTGATGGAGTTGTAGAGAGTAAGTGCATCCTTGCATTCCCCACCAAAAATCCGGCTATTCCTCTCCTCCAAATAGAGTAAACGGTGGCTCCCAAACTTAGCTTCCCTATAGAGTACTTTGGCTTGTTCTTCCTCCACCTACTAGTTATGTGCTTAACATATTCGTTCCAAGGCCGAGTGACATACCCAAGAGAAGAGGGCTCAAGGATACGATTCCAAATCCTTTGGGTGAAAGGACAAGCAAAAAAGAGATGATCGATCGTTTCTTGCCCATGATTACAAAAACAACATAGATTGCTAGAAGCTATTCCATACCTCATCAGTTTGTCCCTAGTCTGAAGCCGATCCTTACATGCCATCCACGTGATCATGGAGTGTTGTGGAATAACTTTTGGGAACCATACAAGGTGATGCCATTCCACTCGGTGTTGGTGCACATGAGCAACCTCCCAAGCCGATTTTATAGAGAACTTACCGGATGCATTAGGCTTCCAAACAACCACGTCCTCGCCCTCCTTTGGATCAAAGTTGATAGAATCCTTCATGTCCATCAAAGCCCAAAAATTAGCTGTTGGCCATCTCTACCTTGTCGCATCCCAAATCTCACACACCTTAGCAAGATGATATAGCCCTGAATCATACACAATGCAATTGCCATATCTATCCTTGAGAGGGCCTCTTGGGTGCCAATTATCATGCCAAACATAAGTTGCTTGACCATTTCCGATGATGGCTTTGATGTGCTCTCTAGCTTCCCTTCTAAGCTTCAAAATGCTCCTCCAAGCCCAAGAAGCATCCGAAGGTATATGAATCTCCCAAAAGCTCTTCTTTGCCAAGTAGGTTGCTTTGATCTACTCAACCCATCTAGAGCCACTACGTATTTGATTAAGGTTCCAAACATGTCTTGTCATGGCTGCCTCATTCCAATCTTTAGCTCTCACAATCCCTAACCCACCTTCTTCAATAGGGACACAAACCTCTTCCCATGCAACTTTGGCCTCTGAGGTTTTCGTGTCAATCCCAGATCAAAGGAAAGCCTTTAACTTAGCATCAATTTCATTGAGGATCTTTGAAGGGAGCAAGAAAGTAGATGACCAATAAACTTGAATGCTAAAAAGAATAACTTTAATGAGAATTACCCGACCAGCATAAGAGAGGAATTTGCTTTGCCAAAATTGAATGCGAGCCAAGATTTTGTCCACCAAAGGTTTGCAATCAGCAAGGAAAAGTTTTTTGGTTATGGGAGGGACACCCAAATACTTCATTGGTAGCTTTCCTTCTTGATACCCAAGGATCGACAAAAGAGCTTGTTTGCTCTCCTCACTCATCTCGGAGAAGAAAATGTTGCTTTTTGAGGGGTTTGCTTTTAATCCCGCCCAAAAAGTGAAACGATCCAATGCTCTCTTGACAATACCAAGAGAGTTTTCATCCGCGTGGCAAAAGATCATTAAATCATCTGCAAAACAAAGATTTAACTCTTTGCACCTCCAATGATGCTTAAAAGAAGGTTCACCTGCTGTTCTATTTAGAAGTTTTGATAGCACCTCCATGGCAATCACAAAGAGATAAGGAGAGATAGGATCTCCCTACCTAAGCTCTCTAGACTTGCTAAAGAATCCGGTTAATTCCATATTAACGGCTATGAAGTATTTAGGAGTTTTAATGCACTCTTCTACCCACTCAATAAACTTCAAAGGAAATCCGAAAAGCTCCAAAGCTTTAATAACAAAATCCCATCTTACAGAATCATAAGCTTTCATAAGGTTTACCTTCATTGCACATCTAGACCTTTTGGTTTACCTTCATTGCACATCTAGACCTTTTGGCCGACTTCCTATCATAGTTATGGAGAAGTTCTTGGCTCAAGAGGATATTGTCCACAATTCCATCTTCCCCTCCCCCCCCCCCCCCCCCCCCCCCCCCCCCCCCCCCCCCCCCCCCCTGTGGAAGGCACCTTGGGCTTTGTTGATGAACTTATAATCTTGGATATGCATTTGTAGATGGTGTTACAACATGAGATCGGCCGAAACTCACTACAAGATGAAGGGTTTTCATTCTTTGGGACTAAAGCAATAATGGCACAATTCACCTCTCAAAGCATCTTCCCAGACTTAAAGAAATTTTGGATTGCTTTAACAACATCATGACCTACAATATCCCAAGTTTTTTTAAAGAAAAAAGCTCCATAACCATCTGGCCCCGGTGCTTTGTCTTTACTCATTCCAAACATGGTCTCTTAAATATCTTCTTTGGAAATCTCACTAATCATGGAGTTGGCCTCCTCCTCCAAAATAACAGGGGTGGTGAGTTCCTCCATGCCCTCATAGGAAACACCTACACACTTATTTTCGAAAAGATTGGAGTAGAAAGACACAAACTCCTCTTTGATTCTATCTTGATCACTAGTAACCAAATCTTCCCCAATTTCCAAGGACACAATCCTATTCCTATTCATCCATCCAGCAATCAATTTAAAGAAGTAAGAAGTGTTGGCATCCCCTTCCCGTAACCATTTAACCCTAGACTTTTGCTTGGCTAAAGATTCTTCGGCTTTTGAAAGCTTGACCATCTTTTCCACCTTAACTTTCTTCTTTTGCAAAAGAGGACCATCAACTGGATCCACAAAAAGCCTTTCTTGGACTTGAGCTAGATCGTCTCTAGCAAATTTCACTCTTTCCGAAATGTTCAAGAACTCTTTTCTATCTAGTCTTTTAAGCTTAACCTTCAACACTTTTAGCTTAGAGACCAGCCTATACATGGGGTTACCTTTCACCTCCAAACTCCACACTCTCTCAACCATAGGTAAAAAGTCCTCATGCTCTGCCTAAATATTGAAAAACTTGAAAGGGGATTTCTTACCTTGAAAGTTTAGCCCACTATCAACCACCATTGGGCAATGGTTCGATATGCCCGGAGTAAGGAAGGAAGTAAAAGAGTTGAGAAACCCGTAGCTCCAATGCTCATTACACATCACCCGATCAAGTTTGCACCAAATCCTCCTATTGAGCTCTCCTTTGTTATTCAAAGTGAGGAATGACCCAATGACATTAAGATCATCAATATCAGCTTCCTTACACATGTCATTAAACTCTTCACATTGCGAATTCTATTTATTAGAGCCTTTCTTCTTTTCCCCTACAAATCAAACCGCATTAAAGTCACCCATAATAACCCATGGCTCACGGTGGCTAACATTGGCACTCTTTCCATAGCTTATTCCTTTCCCCCACACTATTCATCCTATAAACGATAGAACAAAAGAGCATGGAATTATCTTTCAATATTCTAATCTTACAAAGAATTACTTGAGTCGAAGCTTGGATAACTTGCACATGCAAAATATCTCCATCCCAACCCACCCAAATTCTCCCCCTTTCACAAAAACAGTAGTTCTCAATCATATCCCAATTGCGAAACACTATTTTCCTAACAACATCCATATTATTCTCCTTAACCCTAGTCTCCAAAACAACACATAAACTTAAATTATTGCTACTAAAAAAATTCCTTACCTTTTTTTGTTTAATGAGGGAATTAAGCCCCCTAACATTCCACGCGGCAACTTTAACCATAGCTAAGAGGTAGCTTAAGTGGAGTTCTCGCCTTCTTCGCTAGTTTTTTTCTTTGATTCTTAGAAAGGCTTTCATTTTCCTTCTCCAATCTTTCCTTTTCATCCATGCGCACCAGGGTCCCAAACGGTTGACAAATTGGAGAGTGAGTTCCCATATCATCCTCCTCAAACTTATTCAAGAAATCAGCCTTGGTTGTTGGAGTTCTCTCATCTCTATCCTTATTGGTATTCGCGAGTTTCTCCCCCAAAACCGCTTTACCACACTCTGTTTCTCTTTCCAACCCCTCCTCAATACCATTCCCTCTCTTCCTCTCCTCCCCATTAGCAATATCTCTCATTTCCTCACCCTCTTTGGATAGCACCACAAATTGGTTCACACTCTCACAAGGTTTAGGGCCTCACTTTCCTTCTTTCCCTCTACCCTTTCCTTACTTCTCGAAGGACACTCATATTCTTCTTACTAGCAACTCGTCTCCATTCTTGCACATGAGGAGAAGTCGGCTTGTTGGGTAACAACGGTCTAGTTTCCTTAGGAGCCAAATGACAATTTCTTTGACATGCCTAAATGTTTTGCACCAAGCACAAGTAAATGGCTTCCACGCAAACTCCACCTTAACTAAGGCAATCTCACCACTTGACATCTCTAGCTCAAATTCCTTCTTAAACTCTGCCGAGGAATCCATCTCAACACACACTTTAGCAAACTCAAGCCTTTCACCCGATTCGGTAATATTGTCTATATAAAGAGGGGTGCCTATTACACTTGCTATATGGCTTAAACCCTTAGAGGTCCATAACTCAAGAGGGATACCATAGAATTTTGCCCATATGCGTACCCTAGTAATCTTATTCATAGCCAACAACAAATTAGGAGTCCATAACTTCAAAAAGAAAGGTTGCCCTTCTATGAACCATGGACCACCCTCCAACACATCCATTTTAGTAACCTCATATAGGAACTTGAGCAAATAGCCCCCATGCCCATATGAAGTGACCCCCACTGCTCCAAAACGGCTCCAATTTCTCTCAATATAGCCCTTTACTTGGTAAAACGATAATTTCTTCCCAAGGAAAAACCCGACTAGACAATTACTCTATTTGTCTATGCTTAAAGCCGCAATTTCAATAGGGATTGAAAGTCCAATCTTAGCACCCTCCTTACTCATATTTGGTTTGACATATTCAAGGGAAATATCAAACCTCTTTGAGACAAGAACACTTGTCCAAACTCCTTTTTCCTCCCCTTTCACCGGTTTTTCATCACCACAACGATTTGGCTTCTCAATTCTATTCACTCCACCCACCACTTTACTTGGAAGAGGAGGGTAATCCTTAGAAATCTCATCAACTTTTGTTGCCACATTTTCATAAATTCTTCCCTTTCCATTAGAGCAACTCCCTAGCTTTGGGTTGAAATCACCATTAGCCAATAGCACATCATTTTGGCCTGAATTTTCTATAGCAATAGGTGCCCCTTCAACCTTACAACTCTTATCCACACCATGGTAGATTATGTCCTTCCCATTTTCACCAGCCCTAGAAGAAACTTGGTTACCCTCCAAAGCACTCTTGGATTCAGCACAAACAGCTCCTCTATCCACCCAAATAATTTCACCTTCTTCAAATTCGAAATTCCCTCCATTAAAAGGTTTCACCAATCGAACTTGGACATACTCTCTATTAGAAATGAAAGCCCATTTCAAGACTTCATTAGGCATTAATTGGCTCACCAAAAGACCATTCCTCACACTTTTAATCTTTTTTTCCACAATGTTTGGATGCTGCTCACTCAAACCAGGGTTTTTCCCATGTTCAACAGCCTCCATTGGAGGCAAGGAAGAGAAGTGGCAAAAAAAATTGAAAAAGTTTTGTACTCTTTCTTTTTTTTACTCACTTGATGACATGACACCTAAGGTGATGTGGTACATGTGGCAGGATGGGGGATGATGAGGCAATGAGGTGGCATGACAAATGAAATGATAAGGTGATGTGGAATTTGTTAGAAAAAGGATAAAGCAATCACAATAACCAATAGGAAGAGGTGAGGTGGAAAATAAAATCACTTATAGAGCTTGCTATTAACCAATCCAAAGGATAAGAAATTTGAGTATCCAATAAGAAAACAAGGAAATCCAAAGAGATAGGGAAATCTTAGCCAAAAAAGAGGAAGGAGAAACAAACGAAGAACCACTCCAACTTTTCAAACAAAGGAGATCAAAACTGACCAACAAACCAAAAGAACTCCAACCACAAACCTCAACCTTTGATGACCAGCAAAAACCAACTAAAAGCAACACACTCCCACTTCAGATCTTCCAAGCAAAATCGCATAAGAACATCAAAAAAACAACCAAACCTCAAAAGAACAAACACAAAGCTGCTCCACAATCACGCAAATCAAACTCAACAATACACAATAGCTCCAACAACACCACAACAACCAGAGAAAAGCAGGCCTGAACAAAACCCAAACGGGTCACACAAGAAGCAGTAAAGGAAACCCGAAACTGGACAAAGAAGAGAGCAAACAAACTGGAACTTGAAGAAAAACACACAACTGAACTGAACCAAAACGAAAAAACAGAAAAAATAGGAAAAAAAACAAAGGACGGGGGAAGGGGAGGAGGTGGTGGATGGATACGAACGGAGGTGGAGGATGGATAAGGAAAGGGGTTGGAGGAGGAGGGGTTAGAGATGGAGAACGATGAATGAAAAGAATGGGAAATGTGGTGGATGGGAGTTGGCGGGTGGAGGAAGGATGAAAGGGAATGTGTTTGGGTTTGACTAATCCTCCTTGTCTCTTTTTTTAAGAATCTCTTTTCAGATAAATGTGTGGGATGTTTTGCTAAACTAAGTAACTTAATGTAGAATTATCCATAATCTAACAAGAAAACAAGTTAAGTGTTTTACTTCAACCAAAAGACAAAAGCTGTAGTGAGATAGACGAATAAAGTGATAAAAAGTTTTGGAAGAGTTAATTAAAAATTCTAAAAAATTTATACAACTTAATTAGTAATTGAATTGGAAAAGGAAAAGATTAAATTAAATCAAATAAAAGAGATTTGATCTTATAATGTTTTAAAATTGGAAAACTTGTTTAAAGGGTTCTGATATGAATAGACCAATTTGGTAATTTTGTACATAATATATATATTTTAAATCTTAAAAAACTAATAATGGGGTATATAAAATAAAGAATTTAGATGGGGCTCAAATAATAACACGCTTAATTTAATTATGGGGTCAATAGAACCAGTCATTTATAATCCATTTTCTGCTTGACCATACTAGTATATAAGAGAAGTGATTTTTAGCCCCTATTATTTTTGGTTTTAGCCCTCATCTTCAAGTTTAAGTGGGGATAAAATTGTAATAAAAAATTTTTGTTCTTCTTTCATACTTTTATTTCATAGTTGATGTTTGCATTTATAAAAAAAATTCAAATCAATCAAACTTAACAAGAAAACATGAGACAGAACCAATCAATATCATAATCATACAATTATGAATTAATTTCTTATAGCATTACATCCTCAAAGCTCTTACAATCAAGTAATCACTTTTAAATCCCGTTTTCATATCCATTAAAACAAAACGTGCAATATCACAAATTCCTATTGATGAAATTTTGTGTTGTAATGTTAATTTTAATGTTTTAAATTTAATTTTAATTTTTTATAATTGTAAGTATAAAAATTAAAATTTTTAATATAATTATACCCTTACTTAAAATTGAAGATGAAGGCTAAAGATAAAAAGAATGAGACTAAAAATCACTTCCGAATAGGGATGGGCACAGGCCAAGTCGGGGTCGTAGACCCCATTCCCTGTCCTCGTCCCCAATATCCACTCCCATGATTGTCCCCAACCCGTGGGGATGAAGTCACTCCCATCCCCCTCCGCCCCGCCTTGATGAATGGGGATTCACGGGGAAATTGCCCCGTGGGGATTTTATCCCCGAACCGAGATTTTTGCCCCGTAGGGATCAAAACATTCTACATGTTCCTAGGACAATAATCTTAAATTATTGTAATTATTTTAATTGTGAAAATTTAATTTAATAAATACACAAACACAGTATACAATGTTAAAATTTAAATGTCACACAAAATATCTCTAGAATTTGAATACAAATCTTAGACACAATGTGCCAAAATTAAGGCATTTAATTTTCAAATGCTAAGATTGGAAGTGAAAATCAAATATTTGTATAGCTCTACCATATTCTACAAAATTATTAGTATAACTTCTTAACTCTTTTGATATATTCTACCAAATTTCTTACTATAAATCAATTGTATACATGCTTAGGCTTAATTAATTAATTTTTTTATAAAATTAATATAATAATATTCAATCTTAACATAATTTACAAGGTAAATTGATTAATTATTCAATTGTATGCATGCTTAGTTAATTAATTAATTTTTCATAGAATTAATATAACTATATTCAATCTTAACATAATTTATTAGGTAAATTGATTAATTATTTATAAAGCACTATCTCCACTATACCTAATAAAATTAGTCCATTTGTGAAAGGGACAAATCTTATTATCCCAAGTTCCTAACATTGGTTAAGTTTAACATCATAGTTAATTGATCAATTAATTAATTAAAAGGATAATTGTATTTGTGTAATTTGTAAGTCGTTAACATTAAATAATTGTGTATATTCTTATATTGGTTTTGTAAATTGTAATAATCTAATCAAATTTATTTTTGAGGAATGTATTATTAATTTTTGAAATTCAAAAAATAATAATAAATATATTTAATTATTAAACTCTCTCATTTAAATTATTTTTTCTTTAAATTTGATACAAATATTAGAAAGTTATAAAAATAAATATCATAAATTTAGATACATTACTTAATAAAAACCATGATTTAGACTTTAATTTTATATACAATCTTGTTAAAAAAAAAAAAAAAATTCTCAATTAAAGAACAGTATACGAGGTAGGGTAGGTCTCCACGAGGGCGGGATTGCCGGGCCGAGCCAGGTCGGGGATTTTTTAAAGGACCATCCTTGGTCACATCCCTGACATTTTCGAGGATTCCCTGCCCAATTTGGGCCGGGGTAAACATCCATCCCTGCTTCCAAATGTATAATTTTCATGGCAAAGTCTAATGGTCCACAAGGGCGGTGGACTGGCCTGAAAATATGTTAATTTTTATTAATTTTCTACAACTGGCCGGCGTTTGAAATGATTGTGTTTGGGAGTTCACTGGATTTCTTCTGCTTGTATTTTTTTCTGCCATCGTTTTCTTTTCTATTTTAATAAATTATGACTTTGCCACCTAAAAGTTTGAGATTTATTCTTCATATTTAAATATATTTCAGTAGCAATGTTAGAGAAGAAACCAGTTATTTTCATAAATTAATTATGTCATGTAGTAAATATTTTATTTATTTATTTTATGTCTCTATTCAATCACACAATATTCATCCGTTGAGTTTGTGTTAGGAATTAAAAATAGATTTGAAATATGCAAAAAGACTTAGAATAAGACAGAGATTATTAATGGAAGATTATGTTTGGCATTACCAATGGCTGAGGGAATGGCATGTGACCAACTCTTCAAATTGAATTGGATTAGACACCAGGTCAGACACCAATCAAGTCAACAAATTTATTTATTTTGTTTTTAATTTCTAATGAAGTACTTAAAGATGCTAACCCTGTTAACATAATTATAAAATCATTTATCATACTCATCCATAATTGTAATTAAATTTCATCTCTCCCTCTCTCTATGTATTTTTGTAATTAGTTGGACAATCAGAACTACATAATTGACATCTTAATTATTATAAAAAAAAAATTCAAATATTTTTTTAATGAAAAATAATAAACATTGCCTTATTTAAATAAATATAGAATTAAATTACCTACAAGTTGCAAAGTTTATGTGAATGAACATGCAAAACCATCAACTACGAGCCTTCCACAACTTCTAAATAGATCTAAAATCTAATATTAGTCAACAATTGCAACTTGCTACAAATTAAATCATCTTATCTTATGAATTCGTATTTATATGTTTAATTAGTAAATCATTTCATAATCAAATTTCTTCTTTAAAAGTAATTAATTAATATTTTGTTGAAAAAATGTCAATTATAATTAGCATGATTCAATGTATTAAGAATATCATAAAAATAATAGTAATTAAATGAAATCAAATAAAATCCATTATTCTTTTCATGTGCAATTACCAAAACTTATTATCTCAGTCAATTACAACTTATTCCGCTATTTGCAAGAACATGATGCTCTTCTAATTCTTTAGTTGTATATTGATATAAGAGTTAATTTTAATTTATTAAATAAATATTATTTTTATTTTGAAAGTCAAATTTATATTTTGATATATCTTCTAGATTTTTCCCTATTAAAGGGCCTACATCTAGTTAAGCTCTACATGTTAAGGTCCCGGTTCTTTTTAGAGTAAACTGACTTTTTTACACTCAAATAATAGTTTAATGACACTTTCCTACCCATAAAATTTTAAAATATTAATTTAGTACCTAAATTTATATTCAATTTCTGATTCCGACATCATTGAAACCCCATACCACTAACATTCTTTTTCTCGATCATCACTCATTAAAACCCCTCAAAACTTACTCATGCCGACTCTGCCAATCGTGGGCAATAGAACCATTAGGGTTGTGCAGTCGCCCCTCCCAAGTCAAATTTTGACAAATCCCAACCATTAAAATCCAAACTTCCACCACCAAAAGACTCATCGACATTCCCTCTTCAAAAACCCCCATAGTTTGGACACGAGTTTACTTTCTGTTTGCCATCGGTATCTAAATTTGGACAATAAAATAGTATTTTAAAAGTTTGTGGGTGGAAAAGTGTTATTAGACCGTTATTTGGGTGGGAAAAAGTCGGTAACTCTTCTTTTTATAATGTATTTCCTATCAATTAAATAACAAAATCATATTTATTTCAATAAACAAATTTGTAATTGAAAGTTAATTATATATGGGAGTAGATTCATTTTAAATTCTGGGTTTGATTACAATGTTAGAAAACACTAATACCCTTTTTTTTTTTTTTTAATCATCGTTGAATATATACAATTTATAGTTAGTTATCATTAAAATTAATATTAATCAACATTTAAATAAATTTCTACAAGTTTATTTGTTAATTTTTACAAGTGATAATAAAACACATATTGCATATAAACCCAATTGAATTAAAACTGAATTATTGATGATTTGAACTCGCAAAGCCATTGTTAGACCATCTCCATTGAATTAAAAAAGAAGCACACCAGGATTGGAATATTTCCAGTTTTCTTTTGCGAGAGTTGTGGGGAGTAACATGCAATTGAGTTGGCAGATATATATATCCACTACTTCACTCTGATAATTCCCCACTTTTCTTATAACAAAATCATAATATATTCTCGCAAAATTGTCTATTTTCAAATCCAAATCTGGAATATCTATACAAATACGTGCTTACCACAAATTTTACCAATAACTAACCTGATTGGTATCGTTATTGCTTTAAGGAAATTATCATTGTTGTGAAAAAGACTTGGATTCAATTAACGCCAATAATTCCACTGCATGTGATCTTCCCAACCCTTAAAGGATAGGATTTCATTCAAATCCTCAATCTATATGTTTCACATAATTATTTTACACATCAAATGTCACCTCACTCTCCCTCCTCAATCCAAATATATAAATATATAATCATTTATATAACTGGCCAGAGTGTAACTGCTAGACCTTGTTCTTTAATCCCACAAGCATATTTCAATAATTAATTTTTAATTTCCAGTTCAAACTAATATTCATTAATCTCCTCCAACTCTCTCTATAAATACAAACCGAACAATAGCCAACACAACATGTGAAGCAACAGCAACTCAATACTCAGAAACCATGGAAAGTCAAAGTTTCAGTTCCATTATTTTGTCATCTCTTCTTCTTTCTCTTCTCTTAACTTCAGCTTCTGCTCAACTTCGTGAAGACTTTTACAAGACCTCGTGCCCCAATGTTGAATCCCTTGTTCGCTCTGCCGTTCAAAAGAAGTTCCAGCAGACCTTCGTCACTGCTCCGGCAACTCTCCGACTCTATTTCCACGATTGCTTCGTTCGGGTTAGTGCGTTTGTTTTTTCGCTTTCATTTGTTACAGTCAATCAACACTGAAACTGAAATTTTCTCGTTTAGAGTTTCCTTGCAGTAATAAATTGTTAATTGCTATCAGTAAACGTGATTCAAAATTTAAAGGAATGTGGATTTTTGTGAAAAAAAAAAAAAAAAAAATAGTCTAATTTTATTAATTTGTTTGTGGTAGGGATGTGATGCTTCAGTTATGCTGGCAAATAGTAGTCCTGAGAAGGATCATCCTGATGACATTTCGCTCGCCGGAGATGGATTTGACACTGTGATCAAAGCTAAGGCAGCTATCGATAGTGTTCCTCAGTGCAGAAACAAAGTCTCTTGTGCTGATATTCTAGCTCTTGCTACTAGAGATGTCGTTTCCTTGGTATGAATTGATTTTTTTCTTTTTTGAACTATTTACTGCGAAATGATCATCATATGTCAAGAAATTTTTACGTCCCCATTCATTGTTTGACTAAGGGAGATTATCATTTAAATGACACTTTTTAAAAGAAATAAAAGAAAAAGGACACCGAGTTTCATTTTTTTCCATTAGACAGACATTTTTTATCTAGTAAAAATTATTTAAAAAAATTAGAACATTCGTTTATTGATAAAAAAAAATATTTTTTTATTGATAGATAATTATATATTGAATGATACAATGTTCGTTTATTAATTAACATAAATATTTATGTCTTTTATTTTTTAGTTTTAAAATAAAAGTTTTTAATTAATTATCATAAAAGTGTTTTAAATAATGTTTATGTGAAAAGAGAGCATATATTATATAATTTTGCTCCATAAATATATGAATAGCGTAATATACCTATTTACAAGATACTTGTTCATTGATCTGAAAAGAAAATATTGCGGCACAATTTACCCTAAAATCATACAATAAAGAAGATTCTTATTATCGAAAGTTGTAAAAAAGAAAAAAGAAAAATAATAATCTATATCTTGTGTTAACCTTTTGTTTTCTTTTTATGAAACGCATGCATTCATTTCTGTTACTGAAGAATCTACCTTAATGTTTGTCCTTGTGTTATAAAAAACTATATACTTTGAACTGCTACAATATATTAATGAGCATTATGAGATTAATATAAGGAAACTATTATATGGTTTGCTGAATATATATGCAGACTGGGGGACCATTTTATAAAGTAGAATTGGGAAGACGTGATGGGAGAATATCGACAAAAGCAAGCGTTCAACGTAGACTTCCTCACCCTGAGTTTAATTTAGATCAACTTAACTCCATGTTTGCCTCACATGGTCTCACCCAAACTGATATGATCGCATTGTCAGGTATTTACTTCTAACTAATTAACTATTCATTTTTTCATAGGATTTATCGAAAATTCTCTAATCAGGATGTCGATTTCAATTATATCACGATCATGCTTAAATTTACCCGTAATTAATTAGTCATAATTTCATATTACCATTACTAATGAAAATGTCTTTTTTATATAGGCGCACATACTCTTGGATTTTCTCATTGCAGCAAATTCTTCAACAGACTTTACAACTTCAGCACCAAGAACAAGACTGATCCCACCATAAACCCTAACTATGCATCGCAACTAAAAGGAATGTGCCCCAAAAATGTTGATCCAAGAATCGCAATCAACATGGACCCATCGACGCCACAGCAGTTCGACAACGCCTACTTCAAGAACCTTAAACAAGGAATGGGGTTGTTCACCTCCGATCAAATTTTGTTCACTGATCCAAGATCAAGAGCGACGGTTGAGCTCTTTGCATCAAACAATGCAGCTTTTCAAAAAGCTTTCATTACTGCTATTACGAAGCTCGGTCGAGTCGATGTTAAGACTGGAAATCAAGGAGAAATTCGGAGAGATTGTTCTCTTGTGAACTAGAGATTTGGTTAATCTAGTATTATTAGCTAGATCAATTCTTTAGTTTGTATTATTCTAAAGCGTTTTTGTTTATTTCTTGGTCTTGTGAATTTGTTTTTTGTTTTGATTTTCGTTGGTACGTGATGAAAGGAGCGATATTTTGTTAGTAATATAAAATAATTGATGAATAATATTATGCTTACATTTTGATTAGTTGATGCCAAAGACTTACATCAGTCTTGGTCGTTTATATAGTATAAATACTTCGTTATCATCTAGAAACATTTTTTCAAGACAAAACCATATGGGTTTTAAAGCTCAAAACGGACAATACTTATGAGATGTGTTTGGATCTAACATACATCAACATTTATAGTCTTTTAGATTGAACTAAACGATTTTAAGTAATTATCTTGTATTAACTATACAAAAGAAATGGACTGTATTATTTCTTTTATTGGATCAAAATTTAATAATATAAATGGATTCATCATGTATTTTTAACATGATATTAGAACTTGAGATCAAATTAATTGATCACTGTCAAGAGAGAATCTCATCGAAACCTTACACAGTATCAAAGTTCATAAAAATCAGTACATAATAAAAGAATAATGTATATAATTATCGGCTTATAGCCTTATAGGATGTAGGATCAGGTTGTTTATAGAACTGTTGCGTAAGGCAGAAACATTTGTTAGTGTAGGCAGTAGCAAGAGACATAAAGCATATGTGAAGCCGTGGAGTAGTAAGCCAGGCATTGAAGGGACTTTGGACAAAGTTAGGGTCGATCCCCGAACGACACGTAAAATCTCATCTCATCTCTTATATCATCGTATCCAGATCTTCGATCTCAATTAGTCTCCCCAAGTAAAATTAATTTTCATATATTTATATCACCATTATCGTTTTACTTGCTACACACACTACAACCCACATGGGTATGGATTAGGACAACATTTATGATTAATATATTTTTTTAGAGCTAACGACATTAAATCTCCTTTTAAGTATGATATAAAAACAAAAATCCAGCACAATTTGCTTATTAGAATACGCTAATCTATTTATTAAAATATACCATATTTGGACCTTTGAATTTGTGCTTATCACGGGCCACCGCAACACCTTAATGGGTTTGTTTAGTACTTGCTTTCATTCAATGGGCTGTGATGGCCCATTACAAAATTGGGTATCCACATTATGATATAATATAATATTAATTATAATAAAAAAGATATTTTTATATATGTATAATGTTTTATTATGTTGGTAAATTTCCGGAATAGTTTCTCCACGTTACATAAGTAATTTACAACATTTTGTTAAGTGAACGAGTAAGACGTCAGTCAATTAGAACTACTGTTATGTTACAAATTACTAATATAACATTTACAATAATTAATAATTTAAATTATATTTATTATTATTACTATGATCTACGTGTTAAATTCAAGCCCACAGGATAATTAATACACATCTACAAGACAAGAAAATAAAAAGAAATAAAAAAACACAGCTTCATTCAGAACTGTTGAAGAAATCCTTACATGGGGTGCAATGATCCACAAGGGGAACACAAGAGGCAATAACCTTTCACTCTGTGTCCCCATAAAAGGACCTCTAACTATTGAATTGATAAATTATGGTGTAGGCTTCTACCACCAATCATAATTCCTAAACCCATTGTTGCCAGAGTTGTCAAACCTCGACGCAGCAAATCTATGATGATGAACCGATTTATTTTTAAATGACTGAGAACTGGAAATATGACCACCCGCAGTGACAGCAGAAATTTTATGACCCTTACTAGTAGGTGTGGCAGGAGATTTCCAATGACTCCTTTTGGTCTCACTATAGGAGGAGCGTTCTCCCGGATCCTCTGTTATCCAACCGCCTCTGTGTTTTGATTTTTGTGGAGTTGTAAAGCCTCTATCTTCATTTTGGGTCTTTCTCTTTTTATGACCCTTACCATGATCATTAGGGGCAGATTTGTATCCTGAGTAGTCTTTATTTTCTCTATGAGGTCTAAGTGTTGGAGTTGATGAATCAAAATTCTTCCTACGAATCTGCACATGATCAAAGACATAACTACTACATTTTGAAACGGAAAACTGGAAAATGGAAATTGAAAAATAAAATAAAACAAATTTGAAAAGGAATGACAAAATACAGAATGACTCTGGGAACATCTAGCTTACCTTTGCGGAACTCACACATTCACGTGCAAAATGTCCTTCTCCACCACACTTGAAGCATGAACTAGGTGACGCAGTATCTGTGGTTTCACCTCGTAACCTGTTGCATGCCTACATAAAAGAATTTTCATATAAAATATGCCGACTACTTAAGAATGAACAACCAAAATTCAGAACTCATTTTTACATGACAAAGAGAACCAATGTTTTCAATGCTAAAGTGACAGGAGGTCAGCACCCCATGATAGAGATGCATCAATTGAATGGAAGACGAAGGATATCTGCAAATGTTATGTGATTGACAGAGAAAAATAAAAATTTTCATAGTCAAGAATATTCAACAAAAAGCTGATGAAAGAAGTGACATTACTGTAACACAAGGTTAAAGCACAACCCCCTCTTCCAACAGACCAAATGACAATGAAAAGACTTACCAATCCAGTGTGACCAGAGTGACCGCATTTGAAACAAGAAAATTCTCTTGAACGATTATCAGTGTTGTTAAACACAGCACAAGATGGCCATAACTCTTGCAAATGTAACATTTGATTTCCTAGTGGAAGAAATAAAACACAATGGGAAAGTGTTACAGAACAACATATTCAGAACATATGGTAAGAAACATAAAAGTGACAGAAAAGGGTAAGAAGGAATAAAAAATGAACTCAGAAGTGAATACAGACCTTGAGGTCATCAAGTGAATAATTGTTCCTGCATGAAACCTGTCATGCCCATAATCTCACATTTCAAACATACTTTAGCATTCTGAGAGCCACTCTTGTATTTCTGGACATCTTTTGCACGGTGACCAACTTTTTTGCAAATAAAGCAATCTTGCGCCTACAAAGAAACCAAATATGATTGAATTACCCGCGACTAATGACTGAATCACAAACCAATCTTGTGCACACAAAAAAGTTTAAAAAGAGAAGGTAGATGAGAAAAAATATGATACATAATAGAAATAGAAAAAAAGAAGTTATTCCTGTTCAGGTTTAAAAAAAAAATATAATAAATAAATAAAGAGAGTTTGATTGAGACCCCGACCCATTAAATAGTTTGTGAAAACTGCACTGGCACTTCACTGGGGTAGTTTCTTTTTCTTTCTTCTCTTTTTTCTCTCCGTTTTTTATTTTAACTCCTAAACACAAGTGTCAGCAAAATTACATTCCAAGACCCTAATTAGCTTTGGAGTTGAGGTCAAAGTGAGCCCCTAACCAGTCTTATCATTTCAGTTTTATGACAACTTCAAAGAAAGCCAAGCAGTAAAAATGTTCTTTATGTCAGAGACGTCTACTTTCAAACAATCAACAATCACATAACCATGATAATAAAGTGGCACACAAAAATAACCTCTACAAAGGAGATAAAATCATTTGATTATAGTAGTCATTCCATATTAATAGATGGGAAATGGTAGAGGTTTCAGTTTCACAGTTTACAAAGTTAGTAGATATCCTTGACATAAAGAACCTACGATCAACACTAATACTTGCAAAAATGTTTCAAATATGCTCAAAAAGTAAAGAGTATAAAAACATATGAACATGCAAAAGTAACACAGATACTATAGACCAGTTTTGTAAACAAGTTTAAGTACAAACAGCTTACATTAGGGAGAAACTATATTTTATGAAATCAAAGAGCATATAGTAAAAAGACCTAAGTACAGAAGCACACAAACCTCTCCTGTAGACCAAAAGAGAAAAAAGGTTTGCATGCATAAATCCCTGCCATAGATATCAGTATTCATAGCACTGCTTAATACATCCTATTTGCTCATTAACATAGTGTTTTTATCTAATCTTAATCTAACACAATTTACACTTAGTGCTTCATTACCTGAGCTCATAATTTTTTCCTTAATAACAATAAGAAAAATTATAGCATAAATGCTCACCTGAACATTACAATAAAAACATATTTGCTTGTTATTTTGAAGTAATTTATCTTACAGCAAGAAAGATATAAAGAAAAAGTCTTTTGACTAGGGAAACATATCTTGGAAAGCAAGACACAACTTTAACAAAAAAACACATACAAAACAGCTCAAACAATGGGATATACAGCTTCGAAAACAGTATTTTCTTACAAACCTTGGAGCATTGCTTGACACCAGTGTCCCACTCCCACAAATAAAGCACGGTTTCTTACGCTTAGCTAATGAAAAGTTCCAGCCATATGCCCCTTCACCCACAATATAGCAAGTTTGCCAACCACTATCTGGAGGATCGAAATACCTTGCCCCGCTGATAGAATAAATATCAGAAAGACTAGGTAAGGCTCCATATGGAAATTGCATATTTTCAAAATGCCAGTTCTAAGCAAATGTTTTGACTCACAAGAAGCTTTCGCAGGACAATATTATCTGATATATCTGAAGCTTTAACTGCCTCTTCACCATTCTCAATGTCTTGACAGAACTTCCTTCACAATGACCTAAAGCAATCCTTTATTACAAATTTGCCTAAACTATGCAGAATAAATAAAGCAAAAAAGTTAAAGTTAGAGAAAACGGTAATAAACAATAAAAATAAACTCACAGATTGGTCTCCAATTTCCATCATTTCAATCTTCTTCTTCTTTTTCCTAACCCTAGTTCTCTTATTATCAATCTTCACGTCTTCAATGACAGTCTTGTCATTGGTTCTACTTGGACCTGCAGTGACAACCCAGGTTCCAGCACAGACGAAGAAGAGAGATCCACCTTTTTCTCATCATATAATATGACGTCATTGTCCTCGTCACCATCATTTTGAACTAACTTGGCCGCCAGCGATCAATAGATGTTTCTCCACAATCTTAAGGCTGAGGTCCCGTTTGCCTCTTCATCTCATCATGCTCACAGCTGCGAACATCCTTGACTTTTTTTTCCTCTTCACAGACTGATTCTCTTTTGTTTAGTCCCTGCGCTCAAAATTGTGAAAGAACCGTAATTTGAAGGAGAAGTGAAGAAGAATCAACTTTTATTTAATCATAACAAATCTACAATATATGTATTTTAGGAATAGGTGCTTCCGCGGCAGCTTTTCAGTATGGTGACTGGTTCTTCAGTGCTATGGCACTGGAGGAGAGGGTGGTTGAGTATAGGATCTGTAACTTAGGAATTAGGGTTTCAATTGGAATTTTTTTAAAGAAACTATTTGATGAGTATTTTAACAATAATAAAAACATTGCTGAAAACATAAAATAATCTGTATCAGCCTAATTATCTTTGAAGAAAATTTTATTTATCCAAATTTATTTCAGGAGGACAAAAAGTGACAACCAATACATGTCATTTTTTTAAGCAATGCATTTGAAAGAAAGTTGGAGATGAAAGGCAAAGGAAAATTTACGAAAGAAAAGAAGAGAAATATTAAAGAATATATTTGCAACTATTGAGGAGAAACATTCAGCAAAACATTATAACCTTTAAACTAAAGGAAAAGGAATTTCATTTTCATTTTATGTAAAATTCAGAGAGGTCTAATTAATCTTTACAATTAGAAAGTCTCTCGACATAACATTGACAATGATGATAATTTCTAATTTAAAAAAAAAAAAAAAAAAATCTATAAGGAAAGAAATCAGAGCAATCACTACCAGTAAAAAATACCTAAGATAGGAGTTCTCAAGCTGACATTTGAAGGTGAAACTGTTGTAGCAGATATTGTGATCTTAATTGTTCATTTTGGAACCACGGCCTCCGTCTGAAAAGAATTTCCCCTACCACGATCATGATTTTTCCTATTTACATTAAACCTACCTGGCCTCAACAGCTTCAGAATTCTTTTGTCTCCTCAACTACTGCCTGGTTCAGTTTAATCAAGCATCAGTGTAATCATTTTCCAAAAAACAAACAAGGAGAGAATTTATTGTTGAAGTGCATTAAGTACTTAACATATTAATCAGTGCCATAAGAATATCACCATTAGATTGGCCTCATTATTTCATATGTAAATCAGAAAATTATACAAAGCTCATGAAGGAAAACATTTGAATATGAGAAAACGTGTGAACACAGCCAATAATTTAGAATAAATATTAGTACCAGATTCTAACTGAACTGGATTTTAAACCATCAACCTACCTCTACAGTTCAAAAACAGCCGAGTTATCATCTTCTTGAAGTTTCTGGTGCTTTTGAGTGTTTGATTGAATCAGAAATTCCCTCCGATCTGGAATCATTCATGAAGAAATTGAAACACAAGTAAAAACCAAAAAGGTACTAACAGCTACATTTTAGGGTAATATTGGGAACCCGAAATCATTCATAAGGTTTAAAAAACAATTGTTACCAAGCATATAGCATCGTTTATTTAAAAGGCATCTCAACGTAAACATAGATGTAAATCACACACAAGCAGACAAAACAATATGCAACATTTAACAAAAGTACGGAAACAATTTCATCAACTTAAAATCTCCAATTTATAACTAAAACCATGCATGTGCCTCCAAAATAATCTATATTCATTCTAATTCTAGATTACTAGCTGATCGCAAACTCTCATTAGTTACACATTATTCAGTTCTATTGACGTTGCCATTTAACAATCTTACAATTTGCTTGACACCAACTGTGTCTCGTGATAAGGAACTCTCAATCTCATCACTTCTCTTATTTATTGAACCGTCTCATTCTTGAAACAGGTAAATTATTGGAGATTGAATTAAGTAGCTTGCATAAGTTGAGATTAAACTCATATTTATCTCAGCTGATTTTTGAGCAATAAACAACCCATTAAAAAGACTGAGCTAGCATCATCACTAGCACAGCCACGACCACACTCGTTAACTAAAACTCTCATTTGTAAAGTTCAATTGACTTAATTTCTGACTGATTAGAGAACACAAGACTGTTATATAAATGGTTGTAGTTAAAGCAGCCGTCAACATTTATATACTAATGAATCTCTACAATTAACAACAAAAGCGTTATTTACCATTGTTCAACTCCACCCCCAATTTGAACACGGCCTAGCACTAGAATTAAATAAAAGAACAATAATAGTCCAAGAATTGATATACATAATACACCATATACAAGATCAGCAAAACTCTAGACTGAATTGAAGCTTACATCATCATCTGAATACTAGAAGTGAGGCCTGGTTCATGTCCCCGGCAGCCACGGATCTTGTAGCCGTAGAAATAGAGGCCCCAGTGTTCTGTTGTTGCTGCAGTTGCTGGGCAGGGACCTTGCCGACCATGCGAGCTTGGCAATTTTCGTGAGGGAAAGCAGATCATAAAGGGTGTGTTTTTGGGTCTAAAAAGGAGTGGCTTTGCGGTTACTGGAAGAGAAAGACATGGTGACAGAAAATTAGGGTTTTGAAATAGTTGAAAAGGGCTAATGCCACGTATACCCTCTCAGTAAGGCCAAGGCGTTGAGGACAATTAGCCTGCCGTCTATTAATTTTGATATTAATAATATATTTTAATAACTTATAAAAATAACGTAAAATTTAACCTTTTACAAAAATTAAATGAAAACATTTTTACCAAAATTTTAAATAATTTTTCTAAATCCCATCCGATCCATATATTAGATTGAGTGAATAAGTCCCATTAAATCTCTTTCTAGGTAATTAAAATTATTTTAAAAATTGAATTTATAAGTATCTGTATTTCATTCCAAAATTACCTTTCTCTAATATTTTTCTTAATTTCTTGTTAACCCCACCATCCTGATTTTTGTTCTACTGAGTTAAATTTCATTATTTCAATTAGGGGTGTTCAAAAGAACCGGTTGGAATCGGAACCGGGGGATACCTTGGGTTTGGTTCCGATTACCAAAAACCAATAATCAACGGGTAGATTCCGGTTCCAAATTTTTGAAACCGTTATTGCGGTTCCGGTTCTATAGTTAGGAACTGGAACCGGAACCAGGAACCGAAGCTAATTGAAATAAAATTAAAGATTAGGGGCGTTAATAAAAATTTTGTAGAAAAAGTAATGTGAATACATTTATATTTATATTTCATACATTTAAAGTAAGTTAGTTTGACTTTTGAGAAACTACCTTTACAAAGTAATGGAGTTTGTAATTTGAATTTAAATTTGTAATTATTTTTGTTAACAAGTGTCAGGTGGGGGGGTATTTGTAAGTTTTTTAGGGTTTTTTTGCCATTTTAAAAACTTTTCAGGGGTCATGTAATTTTACAGGGTAACCAGAACCGAAACCAGAAACGTTGTTACAAGTTTGGTTTTGGGTACCTAGGAACCGGAACCGTTGGTTCAGGTTCTGGTTCCAAATTCAAGGAACCGTCGGTTTCGGTTCTCGAAAAGTGCAAGATACCCAGAACCAAACACCCATAATTTCAATGGCCATCTTTGTTAACATCCACCATCCCTATTTATCTCCTCATATATTTCAATCGTCATTTTTGTTTTTGATAGAATCTGAGTTCACTTTTGATAACCTTTTTCCGTGCAAATTCTTATAATAGGATTTTTATTATAATCAACTTTTAACTTCCATGAGAATTATGAAAATAAAGATGGAATTTCTTTTATAAGATGAATGTTAAAATAATTTCTTTTCCATTGTTCCCAATATATCACAAATTAAAGAGGTGTTTAAAGTTAAACTAAATTTCTGAAATCAAATGCAAGCAAAGACAATTAATGAGAAAATCCATTATATTTTATTCCATTATTTCATCTTTCATCCTCCTAAAAAGAAAAAAAAAAAAAAAATCAATCATGACAACATGTGTGTTCGTTTTATTATTTGGGTAGGACTTTTAAAAAAGTTGAGTTGGGTGGTTATTGCAAGATAAGATTTAAAAATCAACAAAAACACTAACTAGGTTTGTTAATTTACTAAACACCGCTACAATAAAACATTGAAAATTAACAAAAACACCTCTACTTACTCATTAAATGTTGGCAACCGGCCACCACTATCGGAATTCGGCAAATGTGAGTGGTTGGGGGAGTTTTAGTCAGTTTCTAAACTTCTTTTTTGTTGGAGGTGTTTAGTTAAATTAACAAACCTTGGGAGTTTAAAAATAGTTGAATTGAATTTTCAAAATAAAGAAACAAATATGTATTTTGGGTAGGATTTTAAAAATCCTACCCAAAATAACAAAACAAACACACCTAATTTCAAACAAAGAATTTCAAATTATAGTTTTAGAAAATAATAAATAAATAAAGGATTTCTCATTGAATACATTCCTTTTTATCTTGCCTCCGATCCAAACAAGTCGGGAAAAGCTAACGAAAGCTAGCATAATAAAATATCCTATTTCATTTTTCATTATTTAGGAGATTTCCTGTCTCTAGTTAACTTGGATTAGCTTAGGGTGAGTAGGGACTCAATGAAAGGCTATCTTGCTGGGAGTGAGAACTCTTTCTATGTCGATCCAACCGACTTAAGCAATGTAACAATAGTGTGTTTTTGCAATAAATAGGGGGCAACACAAGGGCTAGGTCAAGGATAGACTCGGAATTACAAGTATTTCCCCAACTATAGGTATTATCTCTCCCCGGTGTTTGAGCGGGAGTGCGTTTACATGGAGTTGAATAGGAATCAATAGGTTTTCTCCCATAGAGAGAATAGGTTGAAGCTTAATTTTCTTTTTACTTTGACTTTCTTGGCGCTCAATCCGTTAGTTTTGGCAGTTCCTTCTAGACCTCATCCTCACTATGAGAACAAGCCTCACTCAAAAGTTGGGATTGATGAATGTAGTTTTTGCAAGCATAAGGGTCACTGAAATGCCAAATCTCCTAAGTTGTTTAATAGAGGACCACAACCACACCAACAGAAGCATCATTTCAGGACTTCACAATTTGGCAACTAATTGCAACCATGACCATATCGACCTTCACAGTTTCAGACTACAATAGTTGTACCACCATCAGCAGCAGATCCAGGAATTTCCTTTGATGGGGGCACACAATAAACAAAAAAAAAAAAAAAAAAGAACCAATAATATTCATACTTTTTTTCATTATGATGAGCTTCAACAAAAAGTTACAAAATACAAATAAATATCTTAAAAAAAACACAGTTTTTGTAAAAATAAAACATTTTTTATACAATTGTCCTTGACGAGTTTTCATATTCTAAAAATATTGGATAATCATTTTATCATTAATCATATCAAATACATCTTTCTCAATATAGGTGACCAAGAAATTATTAATCCATTGATCTCCCATTCGATTGCGTAATTGACTTTTCACAAGATTCATTACAGAAAAAGCCCTTTCAACGGTCGCAATTGTAATTAGTAAAACCAATGCAAGTTTCACAAGTTTATACACCAACGGATACAAAATGTCTTTTTTAAAACTAACTAAATTCTTAGCCAAATTACCAATTGTAACTCAACAAATTCATCATAAGAATGCATGTCAATAACAGAAGTCTCAACCTGGTTCTCAAGTACTATCAACTTAAGTGCAGAAAAATCAAATGGATAAAACTGGGCAAAACATATCAACTTATGCTTAGGGGTATAAACAAGTCGAGTATCACCCTAAATGAGCTTGACTCAGTTAAGCATTAGACGAGTTTGAGTCGAGTAACGAGTTAGGAAAATTCGACTCGTGACTCAATTCATTTATAATCGAGCTGGCTCATGACTCAACTCGAGCTCGTTTGACTCGACTCGAAAAGCTCGATTATGACTCAATTAACATGAGCTCAAATTGGCTCGATTATGTTTGTTTGGCCCCTTTTTTATGTAACCAGCAAATCTTGTTTTACACAAATCAGATCCAAAAAAATCTAGATTTTGTGAAGGAACAAACCTGTTGCAGTCGAGAAACGCTAGTTAACGAACTTCTCACAAGTTCTTCGCAAAAAACCGACGTCATCGACGACAGACAAGGCGATGGGAAATGACGATTGGGTAGTTCTTGTGTTTGTGGGCGATTGGGTGTGATTTTGGGGAGACCAGGGTTTCTTGATGATTAGTAATGTGAAAATAGGGTTTATGATTTTGGGGAAATCGTTTATGCGATTTGGGTTAATTGGGGTTTAGGGTTAATTTGCAATTTTTTAAACCTTTTGCATGTCAAATTACAAAACATACCTAAAACTTGTATTTTTCGTTAAAAAAAAACCCTAAACGAGCCATTAGTGACTCACGAGCCAAATCAAGCTGAGCCAAGGTAGACTCGAACTCAGCTCGAAACCTAATTCGAGTCTTACTCGAGCCGAGCTGACTTGTGACTGGCTCGGCTCGGCTCGGCTCACACCTCTACTTATGTTTGTCAAAGCAGAGAATGAATTACTTGGATCTAAACATGTCGTACAAAAAAGCAACTCAGTACTAACCTTAGTGAAACAAGTGTTAAATTCTTGAAGTTGCACATATATCACTGTATAAAACAATTCAACTCGATAGTGATGCAAATTTCATGTGCTCAACTCTCTATCGTGGCCGCCCTCGAATTGCAAACATATCATCCATATTCAAAATGGCAATATCATGCTTTTGGCAAAATGAAGAAACTTCACTCAATGAAGATTCTCATCCTTCATCTCTCAACAATTGTAACCGTTGTTTGGAAACTTTGGCTAAAGTCATAGCATTTACAATGTCTTGATCTTTTCTTTGCAATGCTTGTGATAACTCATTATTAATTGCCAATATACCTTTCATCATATGCAAGCTAAATGCAAAATCAAAGGAATAGATTAAATCTAATAGATTACATGCTTTACCCCTTTGTTCAGGATTTAAACCATCTTCTTCAATAACCTCAAGCACATCACCCACAGAGGAGAACAAAATGATTAAGTTGATCAGTGTATAATAATATGAGCCCCAGCATGTATCACCAACTCAGTTTTAGACTTGTCTCTTGATTCAAACCTCGTCCCTTGCTAACTTCACCAATTTCTAGTACTTCTTCAACAAGTTTACTAACTTGGCTCTCCTGAAGCATGTCTCGACGCTTACATGAACCTCCAACAACATTTATCAAATTAGTAACCAAGCTAAAAAACAAAGCAATAGAAATGTGATTTTTTTGCAACGGCTACTAGTGTCAATTGAAGTTGGTAAGCAAAACAGTGAACATAATAAGCATATTCAATCTTTCTCAAAATCAAACTTTTCAAACCATTAAATTCTCCTTGCATATTACTTGCCTCATCATAACCTTGTCCATGTAATCTTGAAAAACTCAATCCATGCTTAGAAAATAATGACTCAAGAGCCATCTTAAGTGATACTATAGTCGTGTCACTAACATGTACAATGCCAAGAAACCGCTCAAGCACATGACCTTTTCTATGTACATAACGTATGGCAATAGCCATTTGTTCTTTAATTGATACATCACGAGACCTATTAATCAAAACTGAAAGGATGTCATCTCCAAGATCACTAATGATAGCCTTTGTGGTTTTATTTGCTGTAGCATCCACAATATCTTTTTGAATCACTGGTGCTATCAATTTAAGATTCCCAGGTGAATTTTTCAAAACAACACTCTTAAAATGTTCATTGTGCTAAGCTAGAAAAAGAAGAAGTCCGAGAAAGTTACTTGGTTCTTTGAGTCTTTAGTTTCATCATGACCATGAAATGCCAACCCTTGACGCAAAAGAAATATAATTGCTTAGAGAGGGCCACCTCGATATGTTGCTTTTGATTCATTAAATTCACACAACTCTGTCATGCTTGGTTATGAGCACTATTTGGCTGGCCAACATGAATTTCAAAGCGTTCTGGTTTCTTCCAATTACGAAATCCCTCACTAATGATACCAGCTTGGCTCATAATGGCAGGTCTACGAAGATAACAATACAAGCAGAGTGCAGCATCTTTGATCACACTATACTCAAGCCAATCACCACACACACCAAACCACCAAGCAAGATTAAATCAATGATATGCTTTTCCAAATTTTGTTAATAGAAATGCATGATTTCAAGGTTGGCAACAACTCTTTTGTAAGTAAAATCTTCGAATTACATCCCTATAATTAGGATGATAATGATTGATTTTAGGTCGTAAAGATGGATTAGACATAAGATCTTTCAAAATGGCTTCTAGTTCTACACGACTTTCCTTTAATGGATCATTTTCTTTACCATTGGCTTTATTTTCTTGGGCTGATGAGGATGATTGGTTTATTGCTGATTTTCTTTTGAGAAATTTATCCATGTTGCGCACCTAATAATGAGTTTTAAACAAATAAAACAATAAGAAATTATACAAGAATAATAACCCATAGTGATTTACATACATAGTAATAGAAAGACAATAAGACATACATAGTGGCCTATAATGATTTACATACATGGTAATGGAAAGACAATAAAAATATTGAAAATTGAAGCCTCAAGCATTCTTTTCTTCCACACCTAACACTAAAGGACAACCAAAAATCAATAAACCAACACTTACATAGTTAAATTGAAGAAAAGATGAAGAAATTCACCAATTAAACCCCCTACATGTGTTACCTAAAACCAAATGGGAGTTACCTGTTTCAAAATTTCTCCTCCATTTTTGCTTCACTTTCACTCTCACTCCTCTTTTATCACTCTACCTCTTGGCCAAACCTAATCTTCCCTCTCTTCTCTCTTTCCTTTTCCTTTGCTTCTTCTTCCTTTCTTCTTTATGGGTTTTTTCTCTTCTTCTTCATTTTGGGCGAACAACCCAGTTAATATATAAAAAAACTTCTTAGAATTATAAATTGCCCCAAAATTCTTTTATTCTGACCATGACCCCACCACATAAGAATTCTATTGTAAAAATGCCCAGATTTCTCCCCTTTGCTACATGCAAACCCAACAGCTCTTATTCCTTTCATTTTCACTCCCACTAAAACTTTTAAAAACTATAAGATCCACTTGTATAAAAATAAAAATTACAAAGAATATGTAATAAATATATTAGGATTAAAAATGGGGTTTTACAAAAACAAAATCCAAGCTTTCCGTGGGGGCTAGGCCGTTTTGTTCTCAAAATTCTCAAAGTTTTATAGAAGCAAAATTTAAATAAATCTAAAATCTAAAATCCTTAAAAAATTGAGCGGGGGCCATGGTCCCCACTCGTCATTCATTGAATCTGCCCATGTGCATAAGACATTAATGCGCTCTAGTGCTCAAATCTTAAAAAACAAAAAAGAAGAAAAAGGATGTGGTTAAATTTGAAACATGTAATAGCATTTATCCCTATAATATTGTTAATAAAAAAACAAAATTTCTTACCATCAAAGCATATGAACAACCTAAGAAGTATTTGGTTCCTCCTTCTTTGCTCCCATACCCAGTTAAACTCTTGTGAAGAATAACCAAGAGCATCTCACCCTGTGAATATTCACCCAAACTATGAATATCATCAAGCAAAGAAGCATGGGAAGAGTTGACATAACAACCAGAGGTATCAACAACTATAGTGTTGCCTAAAATATACAAAACTGTCGTTCTAACCCTATCATCCATATCACCATCCCTTATGGTTGCTTTATCTCTTAAAATTTTCAGCTGTATTCACCTGCCCTTAATGAAAAAATTATTAGAAGCTCCTTGAAAATATTTATATACTGAAATTTCAAAATCACTTTTCAAACCTAAAATAGATCTACCTTTTATAGGCAACCCTATGATGTAAAGGACATCTTCTAAACCAAAATGAAGGACTACATTATTATTTAGCCTAAAACAAGACATCTCTTTCTCATAAGAGGTAGCCAATCCTTGATTATGTGGGCACAATGCCTTGGCATATTTTGTAATTTTAACAAGTTATCAAATCCCCCTTTCAATCTCTTGTTTCACTATACTTTCAACCTCAAAATCGGGCAAGTTATATGCATGCTCACATACTTGAAATGTCATTGTTCCTTAAACAAAAGTCAAGAAAGAATTAGGATCGATAGATTTCATAAATAGACATATATTGCACAAAATCCACTAAATACATTACTTCCAAAATCCTAATCCAACCATCAAGTAAAAAATAAAATAAATACAAGTCGTCAAGCTCTTCATCATCACTTTTCAAGGGCGAATTCAAAGGAGTTCTTTATTCCATATATGTGGCACAAGGTTTTTATTACATTGGTATTTTTCTTACCCTCTCTCCTTATTTCAAGCAAATTTATAGATATGACAAATTGTCTACAAGAAAGAGAAAAAAATGTTGATAATTGAAGCTTTACTTCGTTGGTTAAGCTACTTATCAAGTAAACACTAATTTTGAATGGTTTTAGACATGTTAGTTAAGTTGTTAGTCCACTAAACATTGCCATGTAGGTTAGAGACATTGAGCTAGAGTGTTGAAGGTAGGGTTGTTATCAAGCTAAGTTTTTGGCTAATAAGGGAGGCGAGTTCAAGTTCGAGCCGAGACAATCGAGCTTACAATTTCATGGCTCGGCTCAAACTTGATAAGGGGGAGATGGTAAACGAGCTTGAGTTCGAGCTCGTTAAACTTATAAAATGTTTATAGAGGACCAACGTTTCTAGGCCTACCCCAATGTTTTCGTAGTATACCTAATGTTGGGTATCCTATGAACAAATGGGTCTCATCACTCCAATAAACCCTAAACCTCAGCAGCCCACGACAACAACCTCAGCAGCCCACGACAACGTCCTCAGGCCCATGTCAAAGTTTTCACAGGATACCCAACGCTAGGTGTCCCATGAATTAATGGGCTCCATTTCTCTATAGCCCTGAATGGTACCTTGTCGGTTTTAGGGCCGTTTATAGAGAACCAACGTTTTCAGGCCCACCCCAAAGTTTTTGTAGTATACCCAATGTTGGGTATCCTATGACCATATGGGCCTCATCACTCTGCTAAAACCTTAACAGCCCATGAGGATACCCAATGCTGGGTATCCTATGAACAAACGGGGGTGGTTTTGCTTGGGTTGAGTTGAAATTTTATTTTATTGTAGGGACTAAATTGAAATGTTTGTGGGGGGTGATTTTGGGTTTTTCATATGTTTATGGACTAAAATGTAAATTTATACATAGGGTGTAAAAAGGCAACCAAAGTCCAACCATCGTTTCTTCTTCTCAAACTCTACCCCAATTTTTCGGCAATTAACGTTTCTTCTTTTAAGCTCTTATTGTTCTTTGATTGTAGGCAGGTTACGGTGTTTTGGCTATAGGAGCTCTATAGAGGGCTTAGGGTTTAGGAGGAATAAAATAATAATTTATATGAACAAAATTATAATTCTATTGAACAAAAAATATTATTAATAAATATTAAAGTTTTATATTTATGATTATGAAAAAAATTTGAAGTATATTATTTATGAATTCTTAATCCTAATCATTCTTGATTCCGCCATTGTTTTTAACTAATATCTTAAAGTTTTTGAATAAATCTGATACTCTTATTAATTTTTTTAATAAATTAGAATTGTTTAAAATGTTTATTAGAATCAAACGATTTGAAGTAGACTAATAAATTAGTTTCCGGATGGGATCTAGAGTTCCTATATATATCTCTCTGTGTGTGTGTGTATGTAAACAGATGGATATAAAGTAAATCAAAGCCTTTTATGTTTCGTAAAATGCAAATGAAAACTAGATTAATAACAAATTAATGTCGTTAATTATTTTTCAAAAAAAAAAAAAAAAATCCAAACTTCCCCAATCAGTCAAGCACTTGCTTTGCAAGCCTGGCTTCAAAGCTAAAGTCTTCATTGAATTTGAACTGTATAAGTTTTAGAAAGTAGGAAACAATGACTTTCAGCCATGCAGATACCCATGAGGGGGCTCGAACCCAAACCACAAGCTAACCATCCGTTTAAGCCCTCACAAGTGAACGTTGACCTTAGAACCAATTTCCGACCGGAGGTGCCATCCAATGTAAAATATAATCTCTGGTAAACAATAATCTAATTAATAATTACTCATAAACCATAATCTAACTATTTTAAAGGTGATAAAGTAACATATGAAATAACTATTTGTAATTTCCTATTCTCCAACCGTTAAATTGTATATCAAATCAAAGGTTGAAAATCTAAATTACTGTTTTAAATCAAAAAATTAAGTTGATAGAATATTATCTTTTATTAAAACATATCTCATTTGGATCTCTGGATGTATATTTATTACGGGCCTACGCAAAACCTATTGGGTTTGTTAAGCATTTCTTTTAATTCAATGGGCTGTGATGGCCCATTACCAAACTGGGTACGAAGAAAAATATAACCCACAACTCTTTAAATATAACTATGACATAAAATGTTAAATAAAAGAGCAATATGTAATATAATTTAATATTTATAATAAAAATATGTTTTTAATTTGTATAATATCTTATTAGATGGGTAACGTTTCCGAAAAGGTGTCTCCAAATCATTAATCTATAACATCTTGTCAAGTCAATTGCAATGTTGCACATTACTAAAATAACATTTAAAACTATTAATAACTTCATAATTTAAATTATCATTATCTCAATGCAAACCAAGCCAACTATCAATCAGCCAACCTTCATCTACATGTAGGGGGGTTGTCATGGCACATCCTCAATTTTAAAAAAAAAAAAAATATTAGTGTGTAATTTTATTTTATTTTTATGACAATTTTGACTAGAAAAACAAAGTATGAATGTTATATGTAATTATTTTTTATTTTGACTCATTTTAACAAAAATTTATGGATTTACTACTGTCTACATGATTTTATAATATTGATGTTATCAAATAAAACAATGGTAATTAATTTAAAGTGTTGAAAATGACTAGGATCTAACTATTTTGCTTGTGGCGGATGACATGACTTTAGGTTATCTATTGAACTTATGTCTAATGATATCTTGTAAGATTATAATAGACCTCGAAATTATTTGAAGTGCGTGTAAACGAGTCAAACATCCTAATAAAAAAAAATATAAAATTGACTAGGATCATTTAACTTACGTACCGAGCATTCATAAAATGTTATCCTTGATTAGTGGAAAATTATTAAATATAAAAAATTAATAAAGGGTGTTTATTGTGAGACCCACATCTCTCATATTAAGAGGATTGAATTTGAAAAAGCAAGCAATAAGGTATTCATAATTGTCGTTTCTTAGATGTTGCCATCTGTCTTTTTCATCTAACTTGCGGCGCATGCTTTGCCAAGATAACTACAACTTAAAATATCTTTAATTATTATTTTTATTTTATATGCCCAAGTAAGTCATTATCATTTGGCATTAATGTTGTTCTATTTGATAACCCCTTTTTTTTATTTTTTTTTATGGATAAAATTATTTATACAAGCTTTTGTACAAAAAAATGTTTGTAAAAACTGACATAGCACACCAAGTGAGTATCATGTGACATAAAAGCTTACGTGATATTAATGTGACATTAAGTTATATGGTTTCTAATGTCACTTGATATGTCATGTGACGTGCCACGTCAATTAGTACAAACTCTCTTTACACGAAAGTTTGTACAAATAGCATTATTCTTTTTTTATTTGTTTATGCCATCCAATTTGTCAATCTTTTGTGCTTGTTAGAGCATCTCCAATATTGCTCTTTATATTAAAGAGTATATTTCACATAAATAAAAAATATCTTTATTAACTTTTAAATATAAAGAACAAAATTTATATTCAAATCAGACTCTTTAAATTAGACTTAATAAATAAAAGAGAAATAGGTGAGAAAATTAATAATAAAATACATAGAAACTTATAATTTGTTAAATAAAATAGGGATAGAGAGTAAAATTTCACTCTAGATATATATAGTCAAACTCACTCTTTAATTTATATTTAAAGAATAAAAAATCTATTGGATTCTTGTTTTTATGGACAAACTCTTTATAATAAAGAGTTTTGGTCATATATAAAGAGTGTTTTGAAGATGCTCTTAGGTTCTTCCATTTTCTAATTAATTAGGCCCTATAAGAGATATTTTTATTCCTATTGGTTTCTATTTTCCAATTAATTAGGCCGTCTTAAGAGAGATTCAACTGCTAGTTTGCGTGTACTTCAATTAATTCTTCAAAACCTTAGAACTATCAGATTGGTAAGAGTTACAGTGACCACCCTTATTAGAGCTTGGGGGTACTTGAACTTATGAGCTCATGAAACATCTTTTTGCTCTTTTGCCATCAGATTACCCAATGGTAGTTATAGATTTTTGTTTCTTTAAATGAACTTGTGGTCATACCTTTATTACCTAATAATAATACCTTTAAGTTTTAAATGAACATACGTATATAGCAATAGATATCAAGTAAATCAAAGCCTAACATAAAATGCAAAAGAAAACTAGATTAATAACAAATTAAGTGTCACAAATGAAGTATTTACAAAATGGGTGCCAGAGTCATCCATTTATTAGATTTTGAGTTTTGAAACTAAATTAGGAATCTCAATTCATGGAACCCAAGTCATTAAATTCATGGTTCCATGCTGCAGCTACAGTAATTTAATTAAGATTAAAAGGATACACACATACAATTAATTAATTAATTATATCAATTAAACTACAATTCAATTCAACTCCTGTTTATGCTTAATCCGAAAAGCCAATGCGGCATCTTCTTTTCCTGGTTATCAAATGTCGCACTTGAGCTACTCATTGGAGTGTTGGGGCCGCTATCAGATTTAAACGACGCAGTTGAGTCAATCTCCCTGGTTTCCTTCATTAATTCTTGACCTTTTGATCTCTTCTTGTTTGAGCTTACTCCAATGCTTAATGTTAACTCAACTTCACTCTCTTCATCAGACCCTTCTATGCTCATTTTATTGCCGATTTGGCTGCTGCCACTTCTCTCCCTGGAGCTTGGATCTTCAGGAATATTTTGAACCTGGAAAATATACCCTGAAGTAGTTGTTGCATTTTGCGTTTTCATAAATATATGTGAATGGTTCA